ACAGAACCTTACTGCTAACAGAACCATGCTGCTAACAGAACCATGCTACTAACAGAACCATGCTAACAGAACCTTACTGCTAACAGAACCTTGCTGCTAACAGAACCATGCTGCTAACAGAACCATGCTAACAGAACCTTACTGCTAACAGAACCATGCTGCTAACAGAACCATGCTGCTACAGTAACAGAACCATGCTACTAACAGAACCTTACTGCTAACAGAACCATGCTGCTAACAGAACCATGCTACTAACAGAACCATGCTAACAGAACCTTACTGCTAACAGAACCTTGCTGCTAACAGAACCATGCTGCTAACAGAACCTTACTGCTAACAGAACCATGCTACTAACAGAACCATGCTAACAGAACGTTACTGCTAACAGAACCATGCTGCTAACAGAACCATGCTGCTACAGTAACAGAACCATGCTACTAACAGAACCTTACTGCTAACAGAACCATGCCGCTAACAGAACCATGCTACTAACAGAACCATGCTAACAGAACCTTACTGCTAACAGAACCATGCTGCTAACAGAACCATGCTGCTACAGTAACAGAACCATGCTACTAACAGAACCTTACTGCTAACAGAACCATGCTGCTAACAGAACCATGCTACTAACAGAACCATGCTACTAACAGAACCTTACTGCTAACAGAACCTCACTGCTAAAAGAACCATGCTACTAACAGAACCTCACTGCTAACAGAACCATGCTACTAACAGAACCTTACTGCTAACAGAACCATGCTGCTAACAGAACCATGCTACTAACAGAACCATGCTACTAACAGAACCCTGCTACTAACAGAACCTCACTGCTAACAGAACCATGCTACTAACAGAAACATGCTACTAACAGAACCTTACTGCTAACAGAACCATGCTGCTAACAGAACCATGCTACTAACAGAACCATGCTACTAACAGAACCTAACTGCTAACAGAACCATGCTGCTAACAGAACCATGCTACTAACAGAACCATGCAACTAACAGAACCTCACTGCTAACAGAACCATGCTACTAACAGAAACATGCTGCTAACAGAACCTTACTGCTAACAGAACCTCACTGCTAACAGAACCATGCTACTAACAGAACCTCACTGCTAACAGAACCATGCTACTAACAGAAACATGCTACTAACAGAACCTTACTGCCAACAGAACCTTACTGCTAACAGAACCATGTTGCTTACAGAATCATGCTGCTTACAGAACCATGTTGCTTACAGAACCATGCTGCTAACAGAAACATGCTACTAACAGAACCTTACTGCTAACAGAATCTTACTGCTAACAGAACCATGTTGCTAACAGAACCTTACTGCTAACAGAACCACGCTGCTAACAGAACCACGCTCCTGGTGGGATCACTCCGCTTACAGAACCA